TATGGCACTGCTTGCCATCCTCCTGCCCCTCCAAGCCCCTAGGTTGCCTCCACTTGAGTGTGCTGTGATGGATGGCTAGGGCAGCTGCTGCCCTGAGACCTGCCACGGGCCTCCTTCCTTCCTTCTCCACCCAGGCCTCCACACCTCACCTGTTTTCCACTATGTCCCCAGGAGCTCTGGAGCCCTAGGACCATGGATGCCCTCAAAAGCAGCCAGGTGGGTCCTGGATGCAAGACGCAGGCAGTGGTGCAGGTGAGTGACCAGGGCTCTAGGGAGGAAGGGCTCAGCTCTACCTCTCCTCCCCTCTGCCCTTCCCCAGGTCCCCAGTCTGTCACAGCTCAGTCTTTACCTGGACCAGGCTAATTGGCTCACCCAGGAAGTACCCTCCCTCACTCTGCCCCTCCTCTCCCTTTCATGTAGTTTAGAGGGAGGCATGGCCCAGGGCATAGCCCCAGAGGTGGGAGCTGGAGGGGCCTCCTGCAGGGCCCTACTCCTTGCCCACGACCACCCCCACCACCATCCCTTTCTACTTGTGTCTGTTTTAATAGACAAAAGGGCAGTTTAGGCAAGACTCAAGATGAACGGGACCAGCAGTTGGCATAATGGCTATGTCGCTGGACTCCCATGTAGTCAGATCTAAGTACCATGTAGGGGGACAACACTCAGCCTTAGGCACTCAGAGCCCCTCGGAGAGGAGCAGAGGCTGCAGGGTGCTGTGCCCAGACCAGGGTGGCAGGGACTGACCTTCAGTCTTTCACGATGCTCATTTCCCACCCTTGCTACCCACAGAAAGGCCCCTTGGACCTGATTGAGACAGGCAAAGGGCTGAAAGTGCAGACGGACAAACCCCATCTGGTGAGCCTGGGCAGCGGACGGCTCAGCACGGCTATCACCCTCCTGCCGCTGGAGGAAGGTAAGTCCCTGTAGGCCGGCTCCATCCCTGTAGGCCGGCTCCATCCGTGAGCCACCTGCCCTGGGGGCCTCCAGCTGTCTGCTTTGTGCTCCTCCCTGCCCAGCTGGCTGGCGTCCCCTGCCTCTGCCTCCCCAGACCGCCAGCTTCTTGGCCAGCTAATCTGGCTCCGTGGATTAAAGATCAGTGGAATAAGGAGAACACTGAGAAAGATGAAAGAGGGCGAGCACATGGCATCGCTCTTAGCAACCAGTATGGCCAAGAAGAAAGGGCCCCTCTCAGCAGTGCCTGGCATGGGAGACAAGACAGTGACAGTGAGGAGATGGGGAGATGGCAGCGGATAGGAGCCCCCAAGATAAGGCCTGGCATGGCTCCTGCCCCTCTCAGCTGCTGCCCTCCTCTGTGCTCAGGCCCTGCTTGTTGCCCGGGTGATACACGTTCTCCACATTCTCCGAATACCAGTCCCAGGGGCTCTGCCAGAGGGAGGGGACAGGCTCAGGGGAGAGTGAGGGGGTGAGGGAGGGGAGGGCCTGCAGGTGGCAAAATGAAGGGTGAGAGGAGAGGGAGCTTTAGAGGAAGAGGGGGGAATAGGATGAAGGGGAGAAAGAGAAAAGAACATGGGGAAAGGTGGCAGAAAAGAGGTCCCCCTTCTCTACCCATCTGGAGTTGGGGCCTCCGCGCCCACCTAGAGGCCTTCCCATCCTCAGGCAGTTTCTATCATGTACTGTCTCCACCTGGCGGGGGAACGGCCAGTGGGCAGAGATACTCCCTGGAGTAGGGGGTGGATATACCGTTCCTCTTTTAAAAAAAAAAAAATTTATTTACTACTGTTGTTATTGTTGTTGTTGTTACTCAATTTGGCCAGAGAGAGACAGAGAGAGAAAGGTAAAGTGAGAAAGCAAGCCACCAGCTCTGGACTCGAACTACAGTCAGCCACATGGGAGTCCAGCACTTCAACCACCACGCCACCCACTGGCCCCCATACATTTCCTCTATGGCCCTCCTTACCCCTTCATGGCCTCCTCAGCTTGGACACCCCTAACTCAGTTTGCATCCTATCTCCAGGGCGGACTGTGATTGGCTCGGCGGCCAGGGACATCTCCCTGCAGGGCCCTGGCCTGGCTCCAGAACACTGCTACATCGAGAACTTGCGGGGCACCCTCACCCTCTACCCCTGTGGCAATGCCTGCACTATTGACGGGCTCCCTGTCCGGCAGCCCACCCGGCTCACTCAGGGTAAGGTGTGACACCCCAAACAGGGGGGGGCCTCAGTTTAAAAGCTTGTGTGTGTTGTGCTCTGCAGGGGAAGCCTGCTTTGGTGGTTGCCGTGGTAACTGCCTACTAGAGGGAAATGCCTGCGTATTTGGGGGTGCCTGGACATCCTGCACCAACCTTCAGCCTGCTTTCCTCTGTCACCCCTACCCTGCCTCCCACAGGGCAGAAAGAGAAGTGCTTCTGATTCCGGCTTTCAGGGCCTGGGGTGGGGGCGGCTGTTCCTGGCTGTGGAGGACAGCCATCTGAGCAGGAGGAGGATGTCAATGGCATTGTCCCATCATGCCAGAAGGGAATTACCCTGAGAAGCTGGAGGGGAGGACAGTCCCCCGGATGGGGGTAGGGCAAGGGCAAAATCTGAAGGCCGACTGGGCTGTGCTTGCTCATGTGTTGCAGCTTTGGGGTTGCAAATATTCCCGCCTGTTCCCCAAAGCAGTGAGCTGTTCATTGTGTAAGGCAGCTCTGGGAACCAGCGACATTATGAGGGGGTACTGCACTCACTAGAGAGAGAGAGACGGAGATAGAGCACCCCTGTGGGGAATGGTTGTGCCGAGATCCCTTCTCCATTTCTTCATCTTGTTGGGATTTGGGGCACACAGGCACATACACTCAGTGTTTCTTTTCTTTTTTAAAAATTTATTTATTGGGACCAGCAGTTAGCGTAATGGCTATGTCGCTGGACTCCCTCGTAGTCGACTGCAGTTCTAAGCCCGGATCTAGTAGCTTAAACTCACGCCGGGCACGTGTGCGTGTATGCCCAAAATCCCAAGAGGAGAATGGAGGAGAAGGGATTGCGGCGTGGCCATCCCCTCTGGGGGGTGATTTCTCGCTTTCTGTCTCTCTGTCTCTCTATCTGTCTGGCGAGCGCACGCGCCCTATAGCAAAAAAAAAAAAAAGCCTCTCAAAAAAATAAAAAAGAAAAATTTATTTATTGGGGGTACCAACAGGGGGCGTGGTGGTTAAGGCACATGTCTGACGACAGATCGAGTCCTGGACCTGGTGGCTTGCTTTCTCACTTTCCCTCTCTCTCTAGTCAAACTAAAATAAATTAATGAATAAATTAAAATATTAAATAAATTTTAAAAATAATTATTTCCAAACAAAGAATGATTTATTTATTTAATTTTATGTGTTATTATTATTTTTAAAATTTGACCATAGAGAGACAGAGACAAGGTAGGGGAATAAGAAAGTGTGGGAAACTGGGAACCAGCGGTTAGCGTAATGGCTATGTCACTGGACTCCCACATAGTCGACTGCGGGTCGCATCCCGTCCGGTGGCTTAGATCTCACGCCGGGTGCATGTGCGTGCGTGCCCAAGATCCCGAGAGGAGAATGGAGAAGAAGGGATTGCAGGGTGACCATCCCCCCAGGGGGTGATTTCTCGCTTTCTGTCTCTATGTCTCTGTCTGTCTGGCAAGCGCACGCGCCCTATAGTGAAAATCTCTCCAAAAAAAAAAAAGTGTGGGAAACTGAGAAAGCTAGCTGCCGGATCCAGCACTCAAACCACATTCGGTCATATGGGAATCCAGTGCCTTTAATCACCACACCACCTGCCAAACCCCCCCCCCCTCAGTGTTTCTCAAGCCACAGTGTCAGCCATGCAACTGCCTTAACTACCGTGGCCCAGATCTGGCCCCAAAGTGGTGCTTGAGACTGGTTATGCTCACCCTGGAAACAGGACTATGGCATCAATGTGCAGTGTGGTGTCAGGGTAGGGGGATGAGGAGGTGTGTGCGGCGTGGTGTCAGGTAGGGGGATGAGGAGGTGTGTGCGGCGTGGTATCAGGTAGGGGGATGAGGAGGCAGACTGGGTAGGGTTTAGAGTTTAGAGTTTAGAGTTGAGCTTGTCATGAGGTGGAGCTTTGGCCAGGCTGGCTTTGAGCGGGACTCATGACCCAGCACTTCTTTCTAGAGATTCTTACTGACTAGAAACCCCTTTGCCTGGAAATCCCACCAGCTCCACTCTCTCCTGTTTACACCATTGGGACCTTCAAGTGCCACTCTCTTGCCAGCCCGCCTGGGAGGTGACCTCACCCCTTTCCCTTCTTCCTGCCTTCAGGGAGGCAGGTTCCCCCAGGGCCCGATGGTCTCTGACTCTGGAGAGGAGGAGGAGCGCCCATCAGCTGCAGCTTGGGCTGCAGTGCCATCTGGTTCCTGGTGGTCCAGTTCGGTCTCACAGACAGCATCTTCTCTGAGATCTGGGTGCATGGAGGGGAACAACAGAGCCGCAAGCAGAGGCAGGGCCAAGTTCAAAGGAGGTCCTGCCCTCACTCCCCCAGGCCCAAACCCATCACCTTCCGGGGAAGAACATTCTTACCCTGTGTGTCCTGAGCAGGGCGGATCAAGCAGTGCTTCCGCCTCTTGCCTTCCAGGGCATCTGGGAAGAGGGAGAGCCTGGCTGGGGCCAAGATGGAATTCTTAAGCCTTTCCTGTGGCCCCAGTAACCCCACCCATGGCCCCAGCAGAAGCCCACCCTGCCAAGAACGTACCCTCCCACTCTATCTGACCATAACCCACTCCTCTCTTCTGCCCCCACCCTGCAGCCTTCTCGTCGGGGCTCGCCTGTCTCAAAGCTTGGCAGCCCGTGGAGGGTAGGCAGAGCACAAAGGATTGGGTGTTCTTCTTCCAGGCCCCCCTCCCCTGGGCTCTAGGAGCTGAGGGCTTCCTTGTCTCATCCCTGTAGCGCGGCACCAAGCCCAGCCCTGCCTGGCCCCACTCCGGACATTCTTGGGAGTGCGTTTCCTTGGAAACTGGGTGGCTCGGGGGTGCATGTGCTATCTCTGTGTGTCTATGTGACTGGAGCGTGTTTATGTCTCTCCGGATGTGTTTGTGACTCTGGATTTGTGTGTCTCTGTTTGTGTCTTTCCTTGTGTTTATGGATCAGTGTGTTCAAGTGGGAGGCAGGGCTGAAGGTCCGTGTGTGTCCTTGTGCATGCGAGGACTCACTGGCCTTAGGCCTATCTGTGGGTCTGTGCACAGAGGATTATTATTATTCTGTTTGTCACATTCAAAGAGGGGATCGTCCTCTTTGAAAAGCAGAGGGCTATCCTGGGAATACCATAGAGGCGGCTCTGGCTGGGCCAGGCCTTAGTTAGATGCATCATTCTGGGCACTGTGCCCAGCCACAGGCAACTTGGAGAGACACTTCATGACAAGCAGAGATGGCAACAACAGCCTCTTCCAGCAGAAATATACCTGGGCCAGGGAAGGGGAGAGGCAGCAGAAAGCAGACGCCAAGCTTTGGCATAGAGCTGTGGACATGGGAACAGGCGATGAGGGAGCCAGGGAGATCTTGCTTCCCCATACCCAGGCATCTTGGCATATCCCACGCTTCCCTTTGCTCTACAGAGCAAGGGGTGGAGCTGGGAGCGGGACTAGGGAAGTAAGGAGGAATCCCAATCTGGGTCTGGGTTGCTCCACCCGGGCACCACAGTGCCAGACCACATGAAAGATCTGGGAGGGGACTGGGCAGCAGAGAACCAGAAAGAGACTCAGCCCAGGGCCACGCTGTCTAGACAGCAGGTCCCATCCACTTGTGGCATTGACAGCCAGCCCTCGGCTCTCCTTTCTTCCCTGAGCACTTTGGGGGGTAGGGGCTCACAAGAGGTCTGGTGGAGGAGCGTGCTGGAGAGCAGGATTCCTGGGTAATCTAGCTGCCTGTCTCTGGGGCCCAAGACACAGACCTCTTTCTCTCCCTCCCAGTTATCAGTTCTTCCTTCCGTAAGTTGGGAGTGAAGCCTCCTGCCTTTCTCTCTTATAATACAGATATATATCTTCATCAGTCAGGCCAGCCAGGTGGTGTGGTGGTCAAGGCAGCTGAAGCCCACATGGCCAACTGTGAGATTCAAGTCCTCACAGCTTGAAAAACATGCCAGGTGTAGGCCGGCAGTTGGCAGAGGGGTTAAGGCTCTGGACTCCCACATGGCCAACTGCAGTCAGGCTCCTGAACCCAGTAGCTTGAAACTCACACCAGGCTCATGTGAGTGTGTGCCCAAGATGCTGAGAGGAGAATGGAAGAAAAGGGATTGTGGTGTGGCCATCCCCTGGGGGTGAGGAGAGGGCATGACTTCTCACTTTTCTCTCTATAGGGCAAACACATGTATCCTATAGCAAAAATCTCTAAAAACAAACCCTACCGGGTGTGTGTGTGTGTGTGTGTGTGCCCAAAATCCTAAAAGGGGAATGGAGAGGGGGACTGCAGTGTAACTATCCCCCTGGGGGTGCTTGCTCACTTTCTCTCTCCCTCTTTGTCTCTCTTTGGTGAGCACAGGTATCCTGTAGTAAACTAAAAAACAAAACAAAAAACTTGACTAATAAAGGTGGAAGGAGGAATCAGCAGTGAAGCCTTCCAGCCTCCCGCCTCCTGCCCTAGTTCTCCCAGGCCATACCGGGCTCGCCGGGGTCTCTCCAGCTGGCCTCACCGTTTCCTGATCCGTGAATCACTCTTCCTGAGAAGTTTTTTGTTTTTTTTTTTTTCTTTTAAGCCTTCCCTCATTTTGCCTTTGACCCTATATGGCTCTTCCTTTTTCCTTCAGAAAAGGAACTAGCTGTGTGCATGTAATGCGGGTATAGTCGGCAGTGTGGGTGGTTAGGGTAGTGGGCTGTTCACAACCGTGGAAATTTTTCATTATTTCCCTGCAGAGATTGACTTTTTTTTTCTTTTTGGAGAGATTTTTTTCACTGTAGGGCGCGTGCGCTCGCCAGACAGACAGAGAGATACATAGAGACAGAAAGCGAGAAATCACCCCCCAGGGGGGATGGTCACGCCGCAATCCCTTCTCCTCCATTCTCCTCCCAGGATCTTGGGCACACACGCACACGCGCCCGGCGTGAGTTTTAAGCCACCGGGTCCGGGACACGAACCGCGGTCGACTACGTGGGAGTCCAGCGACATAGCCATTACGCTAACTGCTGGTTCCCCAGAGATTGACTTTTTATTTCAGCGTCCGTCTGGGGCTGAGT